GCCCAACTACCAACAGAGAAGACGCATGGGAAATGGATTCAATCGATTTCGCTGAGAAAATTAGTAGTGGATCCACGCAATCCCTTATGCTGATTAAAACTTCTAAAAGGGAACCGGTCGATTCAGTATACCAATTTTAATGAAATAGAAATGAAACTAAACATGGAATTCGGCTTCTGGGAAGTGAGGGAGTTAAGCAAGCACCGCCCGACAAATGGACTGTGCGCAGCAGGGTTGGTGTGTGCTTACTTCATAGCTGAGTAGACTCTCACTCCGCCTACCGCACATTCTCTTTCAATTTTCAGTCACCCGCATTGCTGAGTGCGAGATAATTTCAAGACAACAGAAGATTAGATCGGGCGCAGTGATCGACAGTCCTTCCACACACGCAACACTGGATCTGGTCCCACTCCATGTGCCAGAACGTAATAAGAGCGACTTGCATAGCCTGTGTGAGTTCCACAAAGGCCACATTAAGGGGGGAGCCATTGCAGCCTAACTCTCAGTCCGCAAATCACTCCAAAATACCCCCAAGACCGAGATATCCTATCGGTTAACAACCTTGCACGTCACGGATCTTACCATGCTGTGATAGATTCGAGCGCGTCTGATTACCAATCTGCGCATGACTATGACTAAGTTATCATCACCTATGATTAATGATTCCCGAGGGAATCCGAAAAGTCAGGCAAATAAAACTCTTGTTCCAGCGATTGCACCCTCTTTTTCCGCGTATGATTAATTATAATAACGTATGAACGGATTTGTCGAGGGGGCAAATAAAAACAACCTACCGATTACAGCCCGTTTGCGTTCTGTTTCAGCCTCTTTTTCCACGACCTTTTGCCGCTGCTGAGCAATCAAGAGTTTCGTTTTCTCGGCCTCCATCGATTCGTAGTTGCGGCGAATATTCTCGGGGATTTTTGGCTTCGTCACGCGTACCGCCTGAATGATGAGTCCCGGAGCCATCGTATTTAGGTCAGACTGGAGAGCCTTCTTCAAATTCTCATCAATTTGGTCTTAATAGAGGAAGGAAAAGTCACTTTCAATTCCTGTAAAATTCTTCCCAGTGAGTCGTCCAGTAAAAGAGACAACAATCGATGCAGTCATTTAACATTTTGCGGGAATAAGATGCATATCGACGAGGTGATGTAGTGGGAAACCAAAAAGAAACCAAATTAGGCGAGCTAAAGGTGCCTTCAATCATTTTGTCAGCTTAAGGCGAAAACAAGGCGAACCTAAAGGATAAGGATGACCAGGTATAGTCGAATGGCTATTTCTTTTTTCTTTATTGTTATCGGTCACTTTCATGACATTACACATTCCCGATAACGAATGATAGGACACGGGGCCGAATTTGAATTTAAAATGATCAATTACAAACCGCCCCAGACTTAAATTTCAGGAGGCAGCCTGATGCCAAGTCATATCTCACTCCCATCGTCAAATAAGATGGAAATGGCCATCGCAATCGTCCTTGCCTTTGTTGCTGGCATTCCTCTGTACCTCCCGTGGCATCTGTCATCAAAACTACCGTTGACAAAAGGAGAGCTAGGGTGTCTCAAACCCAACGAGAACAACTCCGCAGCACTACTTTTTTTACTTTATCATTGTTTCCCGGCTTCGCTATTTAAATGGGCATCCTAACTACTGATAACCTCTGATCAAATTGAGACTACGCACGCTCATTTCTGGCTAAGTCAACGGAAACACCAAACAGCGAATAAAAGGACTTGCTTAACGCAAATTCAATGTGCATAGAAAATAGTTGCAAAAATGCAAATTGTAGAAAGGTGAAAATGATCAACTCACAGTCAGTGTCACTTACCAAAGAGATCAATATAAACCTCTTGCAAAGTGTGGATGCTGCAGAACTGATTAAGTTCGTGATGAACTTTATTATAAATTAAAGTTTTGTCGTAGTCGGCACTATAGTTCTTCACTATGTCGTAGGCTGCAAAGAAACGTCAAGCTTATAGGGGAATCATCAAGCTTACCACTGGAGGCTGAGAGAAGGTTGACTACCTCAATTCGGTCGAAATAGATTACAACACCACCACTGAAAGAACAGAGGGAGAAAAAACTTGCACGTATAGGAAGTAAAAGCACTTTTCAGAAATAAAATATTCTTGTCCAAAAAAATATCAGATAAGTCAAAATTCTACAACTCTACAATTCATCACCCACCTTGTACCACAAGGCACGTTTTTGACTTCATCTGTTTGCAAGGTTGTCTACAGCTGACCGGCTAATAAAAAAGAAATACCTGGACCGCACGGAAAGTTGTTATTAATGGTATCATCATGTGAAATCCAGGAGTGCTGATTTGTTGCAACAACGCACCACCTCTATAATACACTCCAACGAAACCTTGAAAGAAGGTTAGTCATAGGTCGCAAACCTTCATCTATTATGTGCAGAGATGATGACAAAATAAGTATCCATACAACGAGAAGGATAGTGACGAAAGGAAGACATGAAGCCGGGTTCCACATGGCTGGCTACTGTGACTAATTGGGCCTACCTACAAATGTGAAATTGTGCGGCAGAAAAAGTAATACTTGTGGCAGTTGACCTAAACAGACGGGTCATCACCATGCGGAGTTTGTTAGATTTCCTACCCCGTCAGTCGGATAATGGAGTGATTATTCATTGC